TGTAGGCTGGAAGTGATGTGGACGGTATTTTACCTGTAGGCTGGAAGTGATGGTATTTTACCTGTAGACTGAGAGTGATGTGGAGTGTATTTTACATGTAGGCTGGAAGTGATGTGGACGGTATTTTACATGTAGGCTGGAAGTGAAGTGGACGGTATTTTACATGTAGGCTGGAAGTGATGTGGACGGTATTTTACATGTAGGCTGGAAGTGAAGTGGACGGTATTTTACATGTAGGCTGGAAGTGATGTGGACGGTATTTTACATGTAGGCTGGAAGTGATGTGGACGGTATTTTACCTGTGGGCTGGACGTGAAGTGGAAGTTGTTTTACCTGTAGGCTGGAAGTGAAGTGGACGATATTTACCTGTAGGCTGGAAGTGATGTTATTTTACCTGTAGGATGGAAGTGATGTGGAAGGTATTTTACCTGTGGGCTGGAAATTAAGTGGACGGTATTTTACCTGTAGACTGGAAGTGAAGTGGACGGTATTTTACATGTAGGCTGGAAGTGATGTGGACGGTATTTTACCTGTAGGCTGGAAGTGGACAGTATTTTACCTGTAGGCTGGAAGTGATGTGGACAGTATTTTACATGTAGGCTGGAAATGGAAAGTATTTTACCTGTAGGCTGGAAATGGAAAGTATTTTACCTGTAGGCTGGAAGTGATGTGGACAGTATTTTACCTGTAGGCTGGAAGTGAAGTGGACAGTATTTTACCTGTAGGCTGGACGTGAAGTGGACAGTATTTTACCTGTAGGCTGGACGTGAAGTGGACGGTATTTTACCTGTAGGCTGGACGTGAAGTGGACAGTATTTTACATGTGGGCTGGAAGTGATGTGGACGGTATCAGACGCTAGTGGTTATTGCGCGTTGCGTCCACGAGACGGCGCTATGCGACCTTCCCCGAGCCGCGCCGCTGACTGAACTCCACTGACGTCACTGAGAGACGCGAAAGAAGCGCTCGGAGGAAACGCGAGGACAGAGACACAGCAAGCGAAGCGTCCTTCAGTTACCGCGTGCATACGATCACTGTCACACAGAGAGAGAGAGAGAGCGAGAGAGAGAGAGAGACGGCGGGAGAGTGCACTCCTCTGTCCCGCTATGGCTGATCTTATCCATATGCACGACTCTTCCGCTACGCTCGTGAACCGGTTCGCCCGCAAAGGCGCGCTGCGCCAGAAGAACGTGCACGAAGTAAAGAACCACAAGTTCATCGCACGCTTCTTCAAGCAGCCCACATTCTGCAGCCACTGCACCGACTTCATCTGGTAAGAGGCACCTGCCCTTGCAAGAGCAGCTCACTGTTCGGGGAAACGCTCTCTATGCAAAACAGTAGAAACTTTACCAGTGCCATTGTCGGCACGGGTATAAACTTTCTCGCTGAAACGCTTTCTTTTTGAAATAAATACCAGCGTTGAGTTTAGCGCGCGCCCGGGCTGTCCTGGCTGTCACCATTACGCACCAAGGCGCGCCAGTGCATTGTGCTTTACACATGAGACCCAGGCGCGCTTAGTGCAAACTGATCGGACTGCTCTTGAATGTAAATGTGCATGAGTAAAAAATTATAGAGAGAAAAACGATTGCAGAAATGTGTTCCCGTATCTGCAGCAACAAAAACAACAACACCACACTACTTTTCCATGTCGCTGTGGTGCTAGCACCAAGAGAACATCTTTTGTACCTTTAGTGTGTCTTTCACCTGGAAACGTTGATACAGT